TTTATATGTTTTTTTTGCTTGCTACTTTATAAAATTTTTTTGTATACTTTATATTGGCTCATGCTACTTTTATAAAATGTTACTTTTGTATATATGTATCTTGGCTCATGCTACTTTAGAAAATGTTACTTTGTATATATGTTTTACTTTCTTGGCTCATGCTACTTTATAAAATGTTACTTTGTATATATGTATCTTGGCTCATGCTACTTTTTAAAATGTTACTTTGTTATTATGTATCTTGGCTCATGCTACTTTATAAAATGTTACTTTGTATATATGTATCTTGGCTCATGCTACTTTTAGAAAATGTTACTTTGTATATATGTATCTTGGCTCATGCTACTTTATGTTAATAATGTTCTTTGTTACTTTTTGTTACTTTGTATACATGTATCTTGGCTCATACTACTTTATAAAATGTTACTTTGTATATATGTGTCTAGGCTCATGCTACTTTATAAAATGTTACTTTGTATATATGTGTCTTGGCTCATGCTACTTTATAAAATGTTACTTTGTATATATGTATATATGTTCTTGGCTCATGCTACTTTATAAAATGTTACTTTATATATATATGTTTCTTGGCTCATGCTACTTTATAAAATGTTACTTTGTATGTTTTATATGTATCTTGGCTCATGCTACTTTAGAAAATGTTACTTTGTATATATGTATCTTGGCTCATGCTACTTTATAAAATGTTACTTTGTATATATGTGTCTTGGCTCATGCTACGTTTAGAAAATGTTACTTTGTATATATGTGTCTTGCGCATGCTACGTCATAAAATGTTACTTTGTATATATGTCTTGGCTGGTGCTACTTTATAAAATGTTACTTTGTATATATTTTCTTGGCTATTGCTACTTTATAAAATGTTACTTTTTTTTATATGTATCTTTGATGGTGTTATTTTATAACATGTTTCCTGTTTTTTATGTGTCTTTGCTGGTGTTACTTTGTAAAATGTTCCTTTGTTTATGTATGTCTTTGCTAATCTTAGAATCCACTGGTATTACTTTGTAGAATGTTACTTTGTGAATACATATGTCTTTTCTTATCCTAGAATTTCCTGGTGTTACTTTGTTACGTTACTTTGTGAATATATGTCTTTGCTTATTCTAGAATCTCCTGGTGTTATTTATAAAATGTTACTTTTGTTTGTGTCTTGGCTCATTTTGTATATATGTTTACTTTGTATATATTTCTTGGCTCATGCTATTTTATAATATGTTACTTTGTATATATGTGTCTTTTATTTTTGTTACTTTGTATATTCATGTCTGGGTCTTTATAATGTTACTTTGTATTATGTTACTTTGTATTATAAAATCTTGGCTCATGCTACTTTATAAAATGTTACTTTGTATATGTGTCTTGGTGTCTTGGGTATATGTCTTGGCTCATGCTTTATAAAATGTTACTTTGTACTTTGCTTTTATATGTATGTGTATATTGTCTTGCTCATGCTGCTTTATAAAAAATTTGTTACTACTTTGTAAATATGTGTCTTTTATATATGTCTACTTTAGAAAATGTTACTTTGTATATATGTGTCTTGGCTCATGCTACTTTATAAAATGTTACTTTGTATATATGCTACTTTATAAATCTTGGCTCATGTCTATATTTTTATAAAATGTTACTTTGTATATATGTATCTTGGCTCATGCTACTTTATAAAATGTTACTTTGTATATATGTACAAAATGTTATATATGTCTTGGCTCATGCTACTTTACAAAATGTTACTTTGTATATATGTGTCTTGGTGCATGCTACTTTTATGTTAAACTTTATGTTACTTTGTATACACAGTATGTGTCTTTCCTTATCTTACAATCTCTTGTTGTTACTTTGTATATATGTATCTTTGATGGTATTATTTTATAAAATTTTTCTTGGTTTTGATGTGTCTTTGCTGGTGTTACTTCTTTGTTACTTATTGTAAGATGTTCCTTTGTTTATGTATGTCTTCGCTTATCTTAGAAGTCCCTGGCATTACATTGTGGAATGTTACTTTGTGAATACATGTGTCTTTGCTTATCCTAGAATCTCCTGGTGTTGCTTTGTGAATCCGCTCCCCTCAGAATCTCCTGGTGTCTACACACAGTCTGTGCACCCCTCAGTGATCAGGTGCATCCAGTGGAAGGTAGGTCCCCATCAATGGCAATCCTTCCCTTCCTTCTGCTCCTCTACGTGACCTCCTGACATGCCATCTACTAACAAGCTCCCCTCCTGTCTACACAGAACATTCCATCCCATAATAACCCAAGTATGGATCATCTCTTACCATGCTGTGAGGAGGACTGAAGATATCCAAGCCCCTAGGTGTCCCCTGTTGGAGGTTCCTTTGGTGGGACTTCAACCCTCAGGAGATATTGCCAGGAAAAGCCTCAGTCCTACCAAGCTGGTTTAAATGCCACCAACTTCCCCTTTATATTCCAGTCCGCCTATATAAACCGGCTCCAGACAACAAATCTAGAAGGCATTTAAACCATTTGCAACAAAAGATGTGTCTTTTTTTTAATGAAGCAATTTGAATCTAGATTGATTTTTTTTCCCTGCACTTAACCCATGCCTCTTGAGGTAATCGTTTCGTTCCCATGTAATCCAAAGCAGGCAAGGGGGGAAAAAACACACAAACTACCTGCAATTAGAAACTGCAGAAAATGCCCAGATAAGAGGCTGCAAGTGTCAATTCCAGCTGTCAATCACACCTTCCATCAGGCCGCCCGAAGAATTGCACATTTCAGTTCTAATGCTTCCAATTAAAAATCGATTTTTTTTTCCTCCCCATTTATGCATATAAAAACACAGACTCTTAAACTGAATGTAGAAATGGATTTATATTCAAGACACCCATGTGATTGGGCTAAAATGTCAGATATCCCCTATATCCAGAATGTCAGATATTCCCAGTCCCTGTAATGTCATATATCCCCTATATCCAGAATGTCAGATATTCCCAGTCCCTGTAATGTCATATATCCCCTATATCCAGAATGTCATATATCCCCTATATCCAGATTGTCAGATATTCCCAGTCCCTTTATTCTCATATATCCCTATATCCAGAATGTCATATACTCCCAGTTCCAGTAATGTCATATATCCCCTATATCCAGAATGTCATATATCCCCTATATCCAGAATGTCAGATATTCCCAGTCCCTGTAATGTCATATATTCCCTATATCCAGAATGTCATATATTCCCAGTCCCTGTAATGTCATATATCCCCTATATCCAGAATGTCAGATATTCCCTATATCCAGAATGTCAGATATTCCTAGTCCCTTAAATGTCATATATCCCCTATATCCAGAATGTCATATATTCCCAGTCCCTGTAATCTCATATATCCCCTATATCCAGAATGTCAGATATTCCCTACATCCAGAATGTCATATATTCCCGGTCCCTGTAATGTCATATATCCCTATATCCAGAATGTCATATACTCCCAGTCCCAGTAATGTCATATATCCCCTATATCCAGAATGTCATATACTCCCAGTCCCAGTAATGTCATATATCCCCTATATCCAGAATGTCATATATTCCCAGTCCCTGTAATCTCATATATCCCTATATCCAGAATGTCAGATATTCCCTACATCCAGAATGTCATATATTCCCAGTCCCTGTAATGTCATATAGCCCCTATATCCAGAATGTCAGATATTCCCAGTCCCTGTAATGTCATATATCCCCAATATCCAGAATGTCATATATTCCCAATATCTAGAAAGTCATATATCCACAATATCCATAATGTCATATATCCCCAATATCCCGAATATCATATACTCCAAACCCTGTAATGTCATATATCCCTAATATCCAGAAAATCATATATCCCCAATATCCATAATGTCATATATCCCCAATATCCAGAAAGTCATATATCCCCAATATCCATAATTTCATATATCCCAAATATCAAGGCAGTCATATATCTCCAATATCTAGAATGCCATATATCCCAATGTCCAAAATATCATAGAGCCCCCCAACCTCCATAATGTTACACATCTCCAATATCCAGGTCATATATATCTAATCCCTATAATGCCAAATATCCCCAATCTCCAGAATGTCATATATCGCCATGATCCAAAATGTCATAAAGCCCCAATCTCCTTAATGTCATATATCTCCAAACCCCATAATGTCATGTATCCCCAATCTCCAGAATGTCATAGAACTCCAATATCCAGGTTGCCATATTCCCAATTATTCAGAATGGCATAGAACCCCAATCTCCAGAATGTCAAATATCCCTAATCTTAATAATGACATATATCTCCAACCTCCTTCATGTCATATACTGCATCTCCAAACCCCATAATGTCACATAACCCCAATGTCCAGAATGTCACAGAACTCTAATATCCAGGATGAATGCCATATTTCCCAGTATCCAGAATGGCATAGAACCCCAAACCTCAGAATGTCATATATCCCCAATCCCTATAAAATCACAGAACCCCAATCCCCAAAATGTCATAAAGCTTCATTCTCCAGAATGTAATATAGTCCCACTGTCCACAAGATCATATATCCCCAATATCCAGAATGTCACGTAATCCCAAAATGCAGAATGCCATGTATCCCCAATATCCAGAATGTCATGTATCCCCAATATTCAGATTGCCATGCATCCCTAATATCCATAATATCATGTATCCCAATATCCAGAATCTCATCTAATCCTAAACTTCAGAATGTCATGTATCACCGATATCCAGAATATCATGTGTCCCCAATATCCAGAACGTCATGCGTCCCCAATATCCAGAATATCATTTATCCCCAATATCAGGGGCGGACTGACAACTCATGGGGCCCTCGGGCAATAGGGGATCATGGGGCCCCTGTGTCTTTGCCTAAACTCAAAAAAGCCTATGAAAAAGGTACCAGGGGCATCTCATGGGGCCCCTACTGACCCTGGGCCCTCGGGCAGTGCCCTAGTTTCAAAATGGTCAGACCGCCCCTGCCCACTATACAGAACGTCATGTGTCCCCAATATCCAGAATGTCATGTATCCCCAATATCCAGAACGTCATGTATCCCCAATAACCAGAATGCCATGTGTCCCCAATATCCAGGATGCCATGTATCCCCAATATCCAGAATGTCATGTATCCCCAATAACTAGAACGTCATGTGTCCCCAATATCCAGAATGTCATGTGTCCCCAATATCCAGAACGTCATGTGTCCCCAATATCCAGAATGCCACGTATCCCCAATATCCAGAATGTCATGTATCCCCAATATCCAGAACGTCATGTGTCCCCAATATCCAGAACGTCATGTGTCCCCAATATCCAGAACGTCATGTGTCCCCAATATCCAGAATGTCATGTATCCCCAATATCCAGAATGCCATATCTTAAGAAAGTGTTATTTATTTAGACAGAATTCTTTCCCATGTGCATCGTTGAAGGCTACAGATCCATTCACAAACGTCAGTTCCCAGACAGGGATAAGGATCTTTATTTTCGACTGTCATTTAAATATCGTTTTGGACTTTTTGGATCTTTTGTGGAAATAAGGATCCTTTACACTGGTGGTGTCAGGCTGGAATGGTCCTAAAGCCTAACGATAAGGATTTGTATTTTCAACTGTCACTTTTTTATTGGGCTAAAAATAATTAAATTTTTTAGGGGAAAAATAAAGGAAGTTTATATTGGTGCGTTTGCCTGGAATGGTCCTAGAACCTAATGATAAGGATCTTTATTTTCAGCATTCATTCTAAAATTTCATTGGAATAAAGAAGAACTGCCGTTTTGTGAAAAATAAGGATCCTTATACTGGTGTGCCGGGTTGGAAAAGGAGAATAGGGATCTGTATTTTCAGCTGTCATTTTAAAATCTCATTGAACTGAACTGAACAGAACTGTCACTTTTGTGGAAATTAGGAATGTGAATGGAGCCCAAGGATAAGGATCGCTATTTCCACCTAGGTGACTGACATTTTCAAAAGGCATTGGATTCAACTGAACAGAACTGTCACCTTTGGAGAAAAAAAAAATAAAAATAAGAATCCTTATCCTGTTGTGAATTGAAGCTTAGCGATCTAATCCTCAGATTTGGGTAGAGCAGCGTTCACATCGACCCCTGAGCCTATAAGGATCCTTATTTTAAGCTGTGGCTTTAAAATCTCATTGGACTCAATTGAACAGAACTGTCACTTTTGTTGCAATACGGATCCTTGTGTGTTAACTTTTGTTATTAGAGGATAGGGATCGCTATTTCCAAATGTGACTGTCACCTTTTTATTAGATGTCATTTGACTCAATTAAACAGAACTGTCACTTTTTATTGCAAAATAAGAACAATAAAGATGAATTGGGTTCGCTATTTCCAGCTTTAACTGTCACTTTTTTTAGATACTATGGGACTCAATTGAACAGAATTGTCACTTTTGTCGCAAAAAGGATCCTGATATGTTAGCTTTGTTCATGGAGAATAAGGATCGTTATTTTCTAGCGGTGACTGTCATTTTTAGATGCCTTTGGACTCAATTGAACAGAAACTGTTACTTTTGTTGCAATAAGGAACCTTTGGTGTGGATTTTGTTAACAGAGGAGGATCGGGATCGCTGCGAGTGTCCCTTTATTTTAGATGCCATTTGACTCAGTTAAACACAACTGTCGTTTTTGTTGCACAATAAAAAAAAATAATAGGGACAAATAAGGATCGCTATTTTCAGATATGTGACTGTCACTTTTTTAAATGCTATTGGACTCAATTGAAATGAACTGTCACTTTTGTCGCAAAAAGGATCCTGATATGTTAGCTTTGTTCCTGGAGAATAAGGATCGTTATTTCTAGCTGTGATTGTTATTTTTAGATGCCATTGGACTCAATTGAACAGAACTGTCACTTTTTGTTTGCAATAAGTATCCTTGCGTGTTAGCTTTGTTAATAGAGGATAGGGATCGCTATTTTCAGCTGCGAGTGTCCCTTTTATTTAGATGCCATTTGACTCAGATAAACAGAACTGTCATTTTTGTTGCAAAATAAAAAAATAATAGGGCAAATAAGGATCGCTATTTTCAGATATGTGGGCTGTCACTTTTTTTTTATGTTATTGGGCCCAATTGAACAGAACTGTCACGTTTGTAACAAAAGGATCCGGATATGTTAGCTTTATTAATGGGAAATAAGGATCGTTATTTCTAGCTAAATGGCTGTCATTTTTAGATGCCAATAGACTCAATTGAACAGAACTGTCACTTTTTTTTCGATGTTATTGGACTCAATTGAACAGAACTGTCACTTTTGTCACAAAAAAGATCTGCATATGTTAGCTTTGTTAATGGAGAATAAAGATCGTTATTTCTAGCTAAATGACTGTCATTTTAGATGCCATTAGGACTCAATTGAACAGAACTGTCACTTTTTTTTTAGATGTTATTGGACTCGATTAAACAGAACTGTCACTTTTGTTGCAAAAAAGATCCGCATATATGTTAGCTTTGTTAATGGAGAATAAGGATCGTTATTTCTAGCTAAATGACTGTCATTTTTAGATGCCATTAGAGATTCAATTGAACAGAACTGTCACTTTAATTTAGATGTTATTGGACTCGATGAACAGAACTGTCCACTTTTGTTGCGAAAAAGATCCGGATATGTTAGCTTTGTTAATGGAGAATAAGGATCGTTATTTCTAGCTAAATGACTGTCATTTTTAGATGCCATTAGACTCAATTGAAAAGAACTGTCACTTTTTTTTAGATGTTATTGGATTCAATTGAACAGAACTGTCACTTTTGTTGCAAAAAAAGATCCGCATATGTTAGCTTTGTTTTAATGAGAATAAGGATCGTTATTTCTAGCTAAGCGACTGTCATTTTAGATGCCATTGGACTCAATTGAACAGAAAATGTCACTTTTTTAGATGTTATTGGGGACCCAATTTAACAGAACTGTCACTTTTGTGAAAACGAGGAGGCTAGCTTAGAGAATGAAACCTAAGGATAGGGATCGCTGCTTCCAGCTATATAACTGTCACTTTCAGGTGGCATCGGACTCGGCTGAGCCGAACTGCCACTTCCAGGCAAAGAAGGATCGGCTGTGCTAGCTTTGTGAATGGAGCTCCTGTGATCTGAAGATTTTGGTTGCTCTCATTAACCCTTTGTGCACAGAGGACAGAATTAAAAGAGAAAAGACAAAGTGTGTCGAACCTCACCTTATCCTGCAGAGTCCACTTCTGGGTCCAGGTTGTTGCCCTCTGAATGAGGGGCGACATTCTCATTTTTCCAATACATGGGGGCAGCAGCAGTGCCAGGGCTAGCAGGGGGCTAAGAAGCAGCTGGGTCCAGCTTGGAGGTGGGGGTGAGGTGGGGGTGGGGGGTACAAATCCACACAGTGTTCAGACTCTGGTGTTAGAGGGGCTCCAGCTTAGCTCTACAACCATCCCTCCAGCCTTCATGTCCAGGACAGCTGAGTGTGACCACAAGGAGGGGAGGCTGGGACTGCAGTCCTTCCTTCCACCTTCCTGTAGGGATGAAGCAGAGAGGCAGGAAAAGAAGGGAAGGGACAAGGACAAGCCACAGCCTCAGCTCTGCAAAGTCTCCAAGAAGTGCGGGGAGAGGTCCACCTTCCCCAGGAGAAGAGGCACCCACCATCCAGGAGGACCTACCTACACACCTCCATCCACAGGAGGACACAACCAGCGGGACTTCAGCAAGGACTGGGGGACTCAGGGAACACTCACTCAGCTGGAGCACCCAGGGGCCCCAATGTGGAGCTCTGCTCTGCCACAAGGATCCCCCCAGTCCAACCTCCAGGACATGGTCATGGATGGACCTGGACAAGTCTTCTGCTCTGCGGAGTCCTGGACCACAAACCAAGTTTTTTTTTTTTTTTTTTTTTTTTTTTTTTTTTTTTTTTTTTTTTTTTTTTTTTTTTTTTTTTTTTTTTTTTTTTTTTTTTTTTTTTTTTTTTTTTTTTTTTTTTTTTTTTTTTTTTTTTTTTTTTTTTTTTTTTTTTTTTTTTTTTTTTTTTTTTTTTTTTTTTTTTTTTTTTTTTTTTTTTTTTTTTTTTTTTTTTTTTTTTTTTTTTTTTTTTTTTTTTTTTTTTTTTTTTTTTTTTTTTTTTTTTTTTTTTTTTTTTTTTTTTTTTTTTTTTTTTTTTTTTTTTTTTTTTTTTTTTTTTTTTTTTTTTTTTTTTTTTTTTTTTTTTTTTTTTTTTTTTTTTTTTTTTTTTTTTTTTTTTTTTTTTTTTTTTTTTTTTTTTTTTTTTTTTTTTTTTTTTTTTTTTTTTTTTTTTTTTTTTTTTTTTTTTTTTTTTTTTTTTTTTTTTTTTTTTTTTTTTTTTTTTTTTTTTTTTTTTTTTTTTTTTTTTTTTTTTTTTTTTTTTTTTTTTTTTTTTTTTTTTTTTTTTTTTTTTTTTTTTTTTTTTTTTTTTTTTTTTTTTTTTTTTTTTTTTTTTTTTTTTTTTTTTTTTTTTTTTTTTTTTTTTTTTTTTTTTTTTTTTTTTTTTTTTTTTTTTTTTTTTTTTTTTTTTTTTTTTTTTTTTTTTTTTTTTTTTTTTTTTTTTTTTTTTTTTTTTTTTTTTTTTTTTTTTTTTTTTTTTTTTTTTTTTTTTTTTTTTTTTTTTTTTTTTTTTTTTTTTTTTTTTTTTTTTTTTTTTTTTTTTTTTTTTTTTTTTTTTTTTTTTTTTTTTTTTTTTTTTTTTTTTTTTTTTTTTTTTTTTTTTTTTTTTTTTTTTTTTTTTTTTTTTTTTTTTTTTTTTTTTTTTTTTTTTTTTTTTTTTTTTTTTTTTTTTTTTTTTTTTTTTTTTTTTTTTTTTTTTTTTTTTTTTTTTTTTTTTTTTTTTTTTTTTTTTTTTTTTTTTTTTTTTTTTTTTTTTTTTTTTTTTTTTTTTTTTTTTTTTTTTTTTTTTTTTTTTTTTTTTTTTTTTTTTTTTTTTTTTTTTTTTTTTTTTTTTTTTTTTTTTTTTTTTTTTTTTTTTTTTTTTTTTTTTTTTTTTTTTTTTTTTTTTTTTTTTTTTTTTTTTTTTTTTTTTTTTTTTTTTTTTTTTTTTTTTTTTTTTTTTTTTTTTTTTTTTT